ACGTTCACGTCTCCAACCTTGAGAGACAACTCGCTGATGTCCATGGCACAAAATGGTATCTCGCTGCCCTTGACAGAGCCAGATGGACTAGGGAAAGGGAGGAATTCTTGTCCAGATTTGATGCAAACTGGACGAGACGACGACAGTTGGCACTTGAGGCTTGAGGGAGTGGAGCGGGGGAGGGTTGCCCAGTTGAATGAAGGTTTTCATCCTGACTATCTTGGTCTTGCCTGTCCCCGTCTTTGTCCTGGCGAGCCTGCAGCCGTATGCCTTTCCCTACTTGCTTGAATTGCGAAGCTTCCTCCGTGACTACATTTTGTGCCTTTGACTTACCTTCTTTTCAGTCGAACGCACCTTGCAAGTTATCTTGATGTACAAGCTTGTGCAGCCTCACTGAGTACATGCAGCCAGCCTTTCAATGTGAACTCATATGCTACTTGGCTCGAGGTGATTTTGGAAACCCACTTACCTTGACCTTCGCCCATTTCGGGCCCTTCGTGAACATGGCGCCGTGGTGGAACCTGTTCCTCGCCCTCCTCGTGACGAAGGGTGTGGAGACCATGGCCACAGGCAAGGACGACGAATACCCCGGTCACCAGTGGGAGCATCGGTGGCCACACGAGTCAGCCCCTTCTGCGGAGGGCAACTTTGAACATGCTCCTCCAACCGCCCCCGCCAACCTGGGACAGCCTACGACAACAACTTACAATCAGGTTGTTGAGCACATGGCGACGGCTTGGGGTGACGATGTTACATGGAACACACCAGCTACTTCTTCGAGCTCCTTGCCTCTGGGTTTGCCATTGACGCAGCTAGGAGGACATGTTTGCTCGGCGTGGGATGAAGAGACGACCATGGACCAGGGTGACGTCCCGCAGCCTCAGTACACGGGCCGCTCCGCCTGGGATGAGGATTACAGCTCGTCGGCCTGGGGTGAGGAGATTTCTTTAGGACTGCAACAGGAGGAAGTCGATGCCTTCGAGCTGGGAACAGTTGCACAGGTACATGCCCCGGACCCAGGACAAGTACCGCAGTCCTTGCTGGCGAGGGGTCTTACGGGAAGCTCCTCGTCCTGTTCGCCCTCGGCTACATGGTGGACCTCGTCGGCTACTTCGAGTACACCGTCCTCCTCGGCACCTTCGGCAACACCTATGGCAATGACTATGTCAGATGCGTCCTCCTCCTCCGTGCCTTCAGCAACACTGATGGTGGAGACTACCTCGAGCGCATCCTCATCAGCGCCTTTGACAATACTCGGCAGCCACCACAGGAAGAAGTGACCACCATGCCAGTGGCCAATCCTCACAATGACTGGGTGAAGCAAGTGATTGACAAGAGGCGACTTCGGGGGAGACCACCTTGCACCACCCAGCTTGGCCAGGACGGGAGTGAGTTGGATGAGGAGGGGGTGACCCAACGCTTTGGTCGTCAACGTGCAGGCAAGGATCGCTGGCACAACATGAATGGGACCGTCCGGTCACGCCTACGTGAGAGATTGGAAGAAGAAGCACGTGCCAGTGGTCTACCCTCCGTTCCTGAAGAACCCGGTGATGGTGCCAACATGGATCCTGACACGCAGGAGGATGCACAAGGACCCGGAGCCACATTGCCGGGTGCACAAGGGACAACTTCGGACCCTGCCGAGGCTTGGTTCCAGGTCTTGGGCACGTCTGGAGTAGAGCAGTCCACGGGTGACACTCTTCTGCTTGTGGAGGACGTTACCGGGAAGAAATTCCAGGTACGTTCAAGCTGTGGACGGGATGCCAATGCAAGCACTACAGCAGGAGAAGATGCGGACCAGGCCGACACCGAATCGGGTCTCTCTTCTTCTGATGGAGGAGGTGGGGGTGCTGTAGGATTCTGGCGTGCTGGCGAATGGATCCCTAGACCGCGAACAGAGGCTGAACTTCGCGCTCATCGTGGTGGACGTGGAGAAGTACGCACACGCAGGAAACAGGAGAGGATGCAAGCGTACTTCGATGGTCGCTGGAAGCCCGCCTGGCTCAACAACTACATTCGGGACAAGGAGCAGCGCACCGGCCAACAAGTCAGCCAACCCGTGCCAGCCAATGCGGACGAAATACCTCAACCTGTCCCACAGCAATCCTCGTCCTCGGCTCCTACTTTGGTGGATTGGAATGATCATGGATGGACATGGAAAGGATGGGCAGACACGGATTCCTGGCGATGGTCCTCGAACCAAGCGTCCGAGGAGCACGTGCAACAAGATCAGTGGTCGCATGGTTGGCAGGAAGGCGGGCACGACAGTGCAGATGCTACGTCGAACTGGAGCAACTGGGGCAACTGGACAGGCTGGCAGGTGAACCACACGCAGACGGCGCAGACCACCTGGGACTGGAGTTACAACGAGGAGGAAAGCAACATGGTGGCCAACACAACAGTGACCTCAACGTGGAGCCCAGGACAAGACGTTGCCTGCCTCGAGGTGACAGCAGAAGCGACCTGGGCCTGGCAGACTTTGACTACGCTGACGACCACAACCTTGGACCTGGGAGGACTGGGATGTTGTGGGACAGTGGGGGAATTGTGGCTTTCAACCTCGTCTTCCACCTCTTCTACCACGACAGTGGAACCAGAGCTCGAGGACAACATGGCGGCAGCAAATGGGGCAGCACCAGAAGCGGCAGAACCTACCGGAGGACCACATGGAGTACCTGGCCTTGGCCTCTTCCCCAACGTGACCACATATGAGGGTGAAGTCAACTGGATGATGCAGCTCACCAACAGCGAGAGGGCGTTTCTTCAGGAAGCTGGGACGAATGAGGAGAGCCTGAACCGATTGGAAGAAATGCTGCACCAGTTGGACGATCACCAGATCGATGGAACGGGGCCTGAATCACGGTGGGCTCTGGCACGCTTCATCGCTCGCCTGGAGGACGTTGTGCACACGCTGGACTCGATCTTGGGCATCCTACAACGCCGACTACGCCCACGAGGATACGTCCCTATCCAGCGCATACCAGGGGAAGAGTTGTCCCGCATTAGATGGCTCAACTGGGCGCGTCAGTTCATGCCGCTCCTACAACGCGTGTTGGAAGTAAACCTGGGTGCTCCTCTTCAACCACAGGAGGTGGACCCTACAGGGACGATACCCGTTAGCTTCAACACCGCGCCGCCGTACCAACCGGCCACCTCTTCGGGTGAACGCAGGCCACGCAGCAGGTCGCCGACGCGTGCTACCTCAACAAGAAGGTCCTCTTCGTCGGAGTTTGGGTCGGGACCGCCCAGCTCGCAGCCTGAGCGCTCGGAGGGCGAGAACGAGGAGGATGATGAAGCTGCTGTGGATGATGAAGCTGCTGTTGAAACGGTGGCAGCACCAGTTGATCCTTCACAGCTCCCGGGCATATGGAGGGATCCACCCCTGGAGGACCTCTCCAACACGGGCAGTGCATTTGGAGGAGATCGGCCCGTTGGTACCATGGCAGCCACAACGTCTACAACGACGGGGACACGGAGGACGGGAAACGGTACAAGTACGACCACGGACAGGTCGCTCATGGAGGCAGGCTCACTGAGTTCTACATCGCCGTGTTCGTCTTCCACGTCGAGCCCAACCATGAGTTCCTCTGCCTCGACTACACCCTCTTGCTCGTCTACGTGCCTGGCCCCTTCGCCCGTCTCGGTGCATGGTGTCGCTGGCATGGGTTGTGATGTGGTGGAGGGTGACTTCGATGAAGAACGAGCTGTTGATCTAAAGGAGGACTGGACAGCATGGATCCAACTACCAGGGATGAGCAGGTTTGGGAAGTCATCGACCTCGACGACTACTACCAGCAGCAACCTTGAGGAGGAGAGACATGGGGGAGCACCATTGTGGCCAGCCGACTTTGTCCGCGAGGCCGTGGTGATGGAGACCAGCCTGGCCACCCAAGCAGATCTTCAAGACCTCCTCCGGCGCCTCCTCGACAGGCAGAGGGTACTTCGCCATCTGGGAAGACTGCTGGATGAAGCGATGGAAGAGGTGGTGGCACAGCTTCAAATCCCGAGACATGCCGTGCCCTTCAATGCCGCCACCATGGCCGGGAACCTCTGGGGAGTGGTGACAAGGGAAGCGACGAATGGGCATGGCACCTCACAAACCGCGACTACACTGCCTGCAGGACAACCTGGAGTTCTCCTACAGCCTGGCCTCCCGAGCAGCTTGGATGCTCTACAGCTTGCTCTACCTGGTAGTGAACCGCACACTGTGGCTGGCTACAGAAGACGTGCATGGAGACAACACGTGAGGGGGCTATACAGTGCTCAGGGAAGACAAGTACCGGAAGGACGGTGGCCACCTGAACATGATCGTGATCTGTACTTAGTTCAGACCAGTGATCGACCTGTCGACAACTACCCGGAGCCGTGCCCGCTTCCCGAGCAGCCCTTTCGTGTTCGACAGCAGTTGGGAAGTGCTACCAGGCGTCGGGGTCAGCGCTTGTTCCAACGACAGTGGGGAGGCGGTGAGAGTCTCTCGAGCCGGGGAACTTTTGCTGGTGATGGTGGTGAAGGCCCGATTCCTGATGATGGTCGTGATGGGAGAAGTCCAGGTGGAAGTGGGGTCGGGAGCAGAGAAAGAAGTCGAAGCCGTGACGATGTGTAAGTCGTCGAAGCCGTGACGATGCGTAAGTCGTGTACTGAGCTGGCTGTGGAGGGTTGTTTGTAAGTGCACGTTCGAACTGAGCGAGCCTTGGACCTCATGCGGGAGAAAGGGCTACTGCATTTAAAAAAAAAACCCTAAACCCTAAAAACCGTCCTTGTCCTGCCGCAGAGCCCTAAGTTGAGGCTCGAACATTTTTTGTGCTCGACGCACCGCCCAGCCGTCCAGATTCTCCATTAGCAGGCTGGGCCCTAGACCCCAAACCCCAAAGCCCTAAACACTCTAAACCCGAAACCCTGAACCCCAGACCCTAAACCCTAAAACCCTAAAGCCCTAAAAGCCTTAAGCACTCTAAACCCGAAAGCCTAAACCCGAGACCCTAAACCCTAAACCCCTGAGGATGGCCTCGAAGAAGTGCACTGTTGGCACGGCCGTGGGCGCGGGGCTAAGAGACTCCCCCATATCAGGGTCGGAAGGGTTCCTTGGTAACTGTTAAGGCCCCCACATTACGCTTAAAGCCCTTGCACTCTACACCCCTAAGCCCTGCAGAACTTGAAACCTCAACTAGGTACAGCATCGGCTGCGGCTGCCAGGTCCGGATAGAGTACAAGACTAGCTGACAGCTAGGGCCATCAAACATTAGGGTTTAGGGTTTAGGGTTTAGGGTTTAGGGTCTAGGTCTGCTAGTGTTGTCATGATGAGCTTGTCCGCAATGGCACGCAGGTGGCGATGGGTGTTCTGAGTGACGGACTTTTGGGTCCGTCTGATGCCAAATTCCAAAATCCCTCACCATGGCCCTCAACAGCCCTCAACACCCCAACACCCCTCAAACGAAGCAATCCTATGAGAGGGAAAGGCTAAACCCTAAATCCTAAACTCGAAACCCTCCCATGGAAACCCTTCCGTGAGATGGCGAGGCCTGGCCTCCGTCGTAGCAGGAAGCGCTTTCATCGCCGGAACAAGCCAGCCCAAAGGCCGGCTTAGGGTGGTTTAGGGTTTAGGGTTTAGGGTTTAGGGGTTTAGGGGTTTAGGGGTTCAGGGTTTAGGGTTTAGGGTGTCTACAAGCTTCTCGAAGGGTACAAGGGTGCTTTTTAAGGTCCCGGACTTTAGGTCAGCTGTTGGGCTTCGGGTGTTGCTTTCGAAAGCGCCCTGTCGCGACGTTAGAATCGTGCTTCGTCGATGGCCTCTTGTGTTTGTGTTGATGGGGATTGGGTTGACGTTTTAAGACGTTTCGGATTTTTTGGGTGTCGCAGCGTTGTTGGCCATTCTTCGAGCTCGAGATTCGTGAGTCTTTGGGAAGCGCTCGGACTGTGGAGTTGGAGTTTTCCCAGAGACTCCCAAACCCCTTAATTAAGGAATATACCTTAAACTATAGTAGGAATCCTAATATGATTTAAGGTATATATTCCTTAAGGGGTTTTGGAGTCTCTGGGTTCTTGGGTCAAGTCTTAAGTAGGGCCTCCAACCACTAATAGTGACCTCAACGGATCGTGGTAATTAGACCCAGGTCCTTGTGTTTTATTCCTATGAAACTATACCATGAATAAACTGCGAGCACCCTGGCCATTATGACTGCCCTTATAATCACCCTTAGCATATCCCTTATCGTGCCGTGCGTTGCTGTTCTGGGATCAGGGTTCTTATAGAATTTCCAGCAGGTCATGCCAGTTCGCCCCCATGCTTCTGCAATACTTGTGAGAGAGGGCACGGGGGTGCGACCTAGCCCCTGCCAATTCGCACCCATGCCTTTTGCAGTAACATCTGTGAGGGACGGCAGTGGGCCCGAATTGGCCCGAATCACACACTCCTAAAGCCTAAGGTATCCTAAGGTCGTGGAACGGGGGAGACAGGCATGTATGCATCGTTTATATGGTTCAGTTTTTCAATTTCAGTAATTCTGCGCAGATGCGAGCCAGATGTTGGGAAGATGGGGGCACGGAAAGAATAGAAGGGAAGATCGACGGGTGCGACAGTTGGACGCAGATAGATGCTTTAGAGTTTAAAGTTTGTGGTTTGCAGTTGAGGGTTTAGTTCATCTCCCTGTGAATCATAGGTGCTTTCCCTACACTCCACTACACCTACTATTCCACCTCCCCGCACCCCCGAGGCTGGAAGCTTTAAAGCCAAAAACTCTTAAACCCTGAACCCCTGAACGCTAAACCACCACAAACCACTTAGATCATGAACCCAGGAAAGAAGTCCCCTTAGCCTCAAGAACTCATCCTGCTCCTTGGGTAAAACAAGGTAGCACAGGTTCTTGGCTTGTCAGGAACAGCCCAGAACTTCAGCTTCGTTTACCTGCGCCCAGCAGCTCAAGGTCACAACATGAAGAATCCCGCACCCCTCCCCCCCCCTCCGGCTCCATCAAAGCTGAACTTTGATGGCTGGCTGTCCATCACGGCCACCCTCTCTGCGATCAATCTCGGGCGAAATCTGACAAAGAATCCTTTAGTATGATGTTGCATCTGAATGCTGTAAACCCTAAACCCTAAACCCTAACCCCTAAACCCTAAACCCTAATGTATCATGCTGTATCATATCGTTGTAGCATTGCAAACCTTACTGCGCATGCTTTGCGATGCGTCTCCTGCACAGGGGCCCTCCGTGCGACCTCGCAGGCGCAGCAGCAGGCAGGGGCGCCCCCGGTGTCCGCTCGGAAACTGCATACTGCCTGCTTTAACTGTTTATTATTATGGTTTAGAATTTAGAGGAGTTTAGGGGTTTTGGACTAAAGATTTGGAGGTTCAGTATTTCGTGCCGAGGGATGTAGGGGTCCTTGCAGGGGCCGTTTCTGCCTTGGCATATGTTAATTAAAAGTTTTTCGCACTTGCTGCAGCAGTAAACCTGCACACACGCAACCAGATAAGTTCAGGGCTAGGATATTTATATACATACATGTATGTGTAGTTCGTATTGAAACTTTTATGCTTATGTTTATATGCTGATCTGAGCTGTTGGCAGTTCATCGCTTGTTTACACATGTGTTCTGGTTGGTTCTTGTTTGTGTGTGCAGTGCGTTGTGCTTCATACGGGCATACCTCCTACCTACCTACTCCTGCCTGCCTACCTACCTTCCGACCGACCGATCGACCGACCGACCCACCAACCCACCAACGCACCGACCGAGCGACGACCTACCCACCTACCTACTTACCCACCTACCTACCGCTTGCCTACCTGCCTGCCTGCCTATCTACCTACCCACCGACCCACCGACCTACCTGACCAACCTACCTACCTATAAAGCTACCGACCGACCGGACCGACCGACCGACCCGACGGACCGACGACCACCTACCCACCTACCTAACTACCTACCAACACTACTTACCTACGTAAAAACAAACCAACCAACCAGCCAGTACTCACAGGCACCAACTTATGCCTGCGTGAATGTACTTAGATGTGTGTATGTATATAGACACAAAAACACATGCATTACATATGTATATACATGTGTATGTGTGTATATATAAATGTATATGTACGTATGCATCATGCATGCATGCATGCATGCATGCATGCATGTATGTATGTATGTATGTATGTATGTATGTATGTATGTATATAGGTATGTATGTATGTATGTATGTATGTATGTATGTATGTATGTATGTATGTATGTATGTACTTGTGTATGTATGTATGTATGTAGGTATGTATGTATGTAGTAATGTGTGTGTGTGTGTGTGCGTGT